ACTGCCAAGGTTGAGAAACACTGCTCTCTGGTTACAGCATGATTTCACTTTTCCTATATTCCATTTTCTTCTAATCCTCCAAAATCATAAATTCAGTTTTTTCTGTTTCACACAAACAGTCCATCAGGGCTTCCCAATCCACATTAAACATAGTTAATGACTTTTCTCTGACCAAAGATGTCAAGCTGGCCATCTTTTTATGGCGTGTCTTTGCTACCCTGTTCTGTGCATGGGGGGGGGTGTGGTTGGGGGGTGTCTTTGAAATATATAGGGTTTCCTCTTCCACATTTCTATCTTCAGCAGGCAAACCGGTTTGCTGCACCGTCGGCGTTCTTTTTTTAACCGAATCCGTGCAAAAAAACCTCAAGGCACGGAATTTCCCGTAGCGTGCATTTTTGGAGCGTGGTCTTCCCCGACACAACTCCCCCCGATTTGATGCTTTGGGCTATAGATACGCTTTTCCAAACCGTCGGCGGGCACCTCTGAGTCTCCCCGCCTCGTGCTTGCGGGACATCGACATTTTATTTACCCCTTTGCTCACCAGCATCCCAAACGGACCTATTTGGAAACCCCGTTTTTCTGCGCCCAAATACGTCTCCGGAGGAGAACCGGAGGCTGAAAAATCTACTTTGCGTCTTGGTTTTGCCAGACTTTCCAAAACGGGCTCGTCCTGCCGCTGCTCGCTTTGCAGGGCCGCAGGGGCACTCTGCGCGTGTTCAGAAACCCCGTCACAAGCCGGGGGGCAAGGCTGGATCGACGCAGGAGGGTCAACGGGGGCAGAAACGCCGTGAAAATCTTGGATTTGACTCTCCCTCCTATCCACGTTTCCCTCCGCCCAGCCAACAATGCCCTGCTTTATTCCAGCTTCCGGCGCTAAAATTTCCTGTTATTCTGTACAACTGTCTCAGCTCTGGGTGGGGATGTGGGAGTCCAATTAACTCAGGCAAACTTCCAGTTTGTCGGTCGGCGCCCCGGCTTTGTGCTCACGCTGTATTGTTGCAGCTTTTCGAGGCAGCCGAGGGCGGAAAACTAAATTAGACCCTCGGATATCTGGAAAGACCGTCTCCGTCTCTTACCATCACGTAAAAAGAAGAGGGGAAAAGCGAAGGCCAGGACGTGGTTCAAGTTTGGGGGTGGAGGGAGGGCGTGTCCAAGAAGGTGCCACTAAGCACGTACAGAGTGCCCCGGATTGGAAAAAGCAGAGGAATCCGGGCCAGTTATTCTCCAGTAGGGTTCGATGGCGGGCCATGAAGTCGTGGCCGACTCTTAGCGACTACGTAGATAGATTTTCTCCATGCATTTCCCCAATATTCTGGGGTATTATCCACTCAAGGGCTGGACAGCAGAGCAGACCGCTTTCTACTTTAAAATTTTATTTCAGTTGCAAAATCAATGATGTTTGACAACGCCCCCCCCCCCGCTGCTCCACTCCAGTCCTACTTTGCAAGGCTGTTGTGCAAAAGACGATAACCGGAAATTGCTAACCCACAGCTTTCCCCTCCAGGGAAAAGGCACGTAAGCTTTGGGAAGTTTTCTAATTTCAGCTTGGCTGCGTCTGGACAGTGCAATCATTCAACATTTTTCTTCCAAATAATGGTTTTTTATCTTTATTCTAGGCTCCCTCTTGGAAGAACGCAGAGCAAAATCTCTGCATTTGGGGGAATCTTAGCTTAGATTCCTAACCTAACCTTCTCGATGCTTTGGGATTAAAAGTTTGCAGTCTTTTCCGGTGCCCAATTTCCTATTTTCTTACTGCAAAATCACTCCTCATTGGAGGGGGTGCCTGGGAAATGCAGCTGCTGTTCCCCCCCAACAAAGAAAGAGAGAAAGAGAAGATTTTTTTTTTTTTGCTTTATCTCTTTGAGCAGAGAGGAAGGAAACAGAACAAACTTCCTGCTCTGACTTTGTCTCCTTTCTCCTATGGCCCTTTTTGCCTCGGGCCGAAATAACACCGCTTGACCCTTCGGACAGGCCGCCATATTCCAAATGCAATTCCTCCTCCCCCAAGTGACTTCCATGTTGGCAGGGTGCAATCCCAGGCTGAAAACTGCAATTTACCACTTGCAAAAGGACCATTTTGTGCCATTTTAAATTTACAAAATGACAATTACAAAGTGGCTATTTACCATTCTCCTCCCGTTTCAAGGCATCCCGCTCGGGAATTTCGGATTTTCTGACGATTCCAGGCCAAATATCCCCAGCAGGATGGCTTGAAATGCGAGGAGAATGGTAAATCCTGTGCCAGTCTTATGGGGCAGGAGCAGAAGCGGATTCCCTGGGTCACTGAAAGGCTTAAGATGGGGATAAATTCTAGAAATTTAGAGTAACCGTATTGGAATGGATATTGGAGAAAATAGAGATTCATAATGATCAGTCATCCCCATGGATCGGTTGCATTGCCCAGTTGAAAGTCATGACCCTTGCCACGTCTAGTGGCAGTGAGTTCCCCTGTTTAGCTGCACGGCGCAACAGATTTCCCCCTGCCCAGGGCAGTTCAACAGGTCTAGCCACCGTCCAGCATGACCCCCTTTCCCCTCCGATTCTCGTACGCTTCCTACAACCTCCAAACTTTGGAAGAAATTGTTGATTTGCTAACCGTCCCAATGGGGAACAAGAGGGGGGGGATGATGGTTTATTTCCCCCCTCCTTAAGCGTGATTTCCTTTGAAACTGAAAACAAAGCCGTCCAAGTCTGTCGAGCCCCACCCAGATTTAAACCATAACGTGGTTTGCTGGGTGTTGATTTAACATCCTGCACAAAGACAAAACCGCAGGGATCTGTCAGCGGTAGCTTGGGAGTTTGTGTGAACCTAACAAACCATGGTTAAGCAAACCAGGCTTTGTATGTCTGAATGCAAGGGGGAGGTAGTCTAACATCTCAAGACGATGTTCTTCTCTGCTGTTTTCCTCGTGTATCTGACCCTTTTGGGGACGAAGGGGCAGAGTTTAAAAGAGGCCCTTATTCTCCCCAACCCTTCCGAAACCAAACCACGTTTACCGGTTATCATCTGCTGCGCATCGTAAGGTTCCATGTAACCGTCATTCTCTTCCAACCTTTCAGCATCTCTTTGGCCCTTGGTCTGCTTGGCGTCGTAAGGATCGGCGTAATCTTCCAAAATGATCACCTTCCCAAATGATAAAATGATCATCAGCGGATGAAATTCACAGGGATTTCTGTCTGAGCGTCTACAGGATTAAACTCCCCCAAGGAAAAAAACTTCCATGCCAACTTTTGGACCCAGACGCTCTTCCGGTCGGGAGCTTTGCCATCCAGATCCGTTTCGAGCTTCGCAAGCCGACAGTCCTGATTAAAATACAGTACACTGTATTTTTCCCGGGTTAATTTCATCTTTTGCGGCTGGCTTGACCACATCCAATTTTATTCCCATCAAAGACCAGCATAGTTTAGCTTGAGAAAGCGAGCAGCGGATAAATTTTTTAAAAAGCGGATTCGCTGGGTCGTGCAGGCCTTCCTTCCAAATGAGAGAAGAGAACCCCAAGTTTTTAAACTTCAGATTAACTGGATTAATTAAGCTGGTTGCTCGAGAATCCGTCAACGGTCACTCAAGAAAATGCAACCCCCCCAAGTTACCCCCCCAACCTTTCTCACCCCAGAAACTGCAATTCGACCCTTACCGTTTCCTGCTTCGGTTTTTCCAGTTCGGACGGTGGGACCGGGCTGGGATTCGGAGCCGTTCCGGCAAAGTTTTTCCCGTTTTTCTCCTGGGCGTTGACTCTGATGAGGCGGTTGATGTAGGTCCCGCAGGTGGGGTTGCCTTTGGGGGGCCCCCAGGCCGGATCCTCCGACGGGGCCCCTTCCACTCGGGAATTCTTGCGCATTTTCCCTGCGGCGGCCTGCAAAAGGCCCTGGAGGTTGTCTCGGGACAGGCGGCTATTCCCACCTTCTCTCCCCGGCACCAGCAGGGTCCTGGCGCTGCCCAGCTCGGTGGCCGAATTTTTCCGGTTCTTCCCGGGCAACGAAGCCGTGCTCGCCTCGGGCGAGCCGAAGCTTTTGCGGGAGGCGCTGCTCGGCTTGCCAAGGTGGTGGGCACTGCCCGGCTTGGGGCGATCCGAGACGGTTTTCAGGTTGGCGGGGAATTCCTTGAACCACTTGGCTGCCATGGAAGCCAAACAGGCCGGGGGGCCACGGGGCTGCGAGAAGGGCCAAAGGGGCCGTAGCCCGACAGGAAGACGAGGAACCCCCCCCAAGACTGGCCAAGGTTTTGGGGGGCGCTTGGGGAAGGGGCCCCCGGCCAATTTCACACCGTCCTCTGCCCCAGCCGGGAAACTTGGCCGCGGTTGCAGAAGGAGAAGGCGAGGGGGCTACGAAACGCATTCCCCAGACTATGAAATCCAGGAGGACCCCCTCGCCTTTTGTTGCCCCCCCAGGCGACCTCCTGCCTCTGACTGAATACAAAAGGCGCTAAGGGGGATCCCGGGCGGGCGTCAGGCTCTTTTCCGCAGCTACATTTTCGAAGGCGGCTCGCGTCGCCCTAGGTGGGCAAGCCCCGGGCAAGGGATCTGCGGGATCTTCCAGGGAGGGTTGAGTTGGAATCTGCAACGGAGAAACCAACAGGGGGGTCATTGGAAAACCTGGGGAGGTGAGAAGGGGAGAGATCAAAGAGCCCTGGGGGGGCCCGGCTGGAATAGTAGGATTAGATTTAGGTAGCCCCCCCCAGCTAAACCGAATCCCACTTTTCCAACCCAGACTTTCTTCCAGATGTTCAGATTTCTCCTACGTTTAGCAAGCTTCACCGGGGAGGGGGCCTCTCTCCCCTAGTGGGGAGGGCAAAAAGGGTCTTTCTCCCCTCCCCAACCAGAGAGGTGCATCAGGACACCCCCTTGGCTCGCCAAAGCAGGGGAGATGGGAGGGGCGCCTGTGCGAGGGAGCGACCCTCTGCATGGGGGGCTGCCCGCCCAAGGGGCCCCACCCTCCTTCCCCAGCCGGGGGGCGCCCTCCTCCAGCTGCAAGTTACTTGCCCCCGCGCGATCCGGTGCAAGGCT